GCAGATGATCAATCAGATGTATTTTGTTAGGTTTGATGGGAGATATACTGGGTGTAACAGCAAAATTGTCTAAATCGTGTAACAGCAATGGGATAATTGTCCATCCCACAAAATCTTTAATATTTAAAGCACAAAACAAACTGGGTTTCTTTTTTTTCCAGTTTTTCAGATAAGACATTTAGATATCTTGACACCATTAATCGTAAGACTCAAAGAAAAACCCTTTGAGCTATTCAGCTAAAAATAGAACACGTTTAAAATTGTTTTGTGTCAGACCCACTATACCTTCCCAAATGAGCAATGGCGAGAGGAAAAAGATCATTCAGGCCTTCAGTAATGGTACCAACATTAATACTCTGACTTGAATCTACAAAGTTCATTCAAGACCCATCAAGAGAATGGTGAATAAATTTAAAAAAGATAGAACAGTAGAAAGGAAAACTGGATCAGGAGGTCATAAATGCAAGCGGTATCAACATTTCAACTCAGAGCTAGATACATTCTTATTGTTCAAAGTAGAGTTCAATAATTTTATAACCGTCTCGAAGAATTCCAGTAAGGTATCATTAATCATTTCTAAGATACAACTGTTCAAAGCTTAATCTAACATTTGGACAATTTTACTGTTACACTATTTGGACAATTTTGCTGCTACACCCATATACCGATGTATGATATGGACCAAAGTACTAATTAAAAATTAGAGAAATCAAAATGAAACATCTACAACAATCCAAATACCCAGGAATTGTTTTGACTGACGAAAGAAAGTATGACACTGAAATCCGAAGACCCACAGGGATAGAGAAAGATGCATTCAAGAAGCTAAGTAAAGTATTAAGAACCAGAAAAATGTCGTTAGAATCAAAGAAAAGAATATTGAACTGTTACGCAATATCAGTCATTCTTTATGACAATGAATGCTGGACAATCTCCTCAAAGATGAAGAAGAGTCCTGAAGCACAGTAGTGTGGTTTTACAGAAGGATGACGTGGATTTCATGGATCGAACATGTCAGCAACGAAAAATTTTTAGCAAAATGGGATCAGATAATAAACTTACACTAGACATCGGGAAGAGAGAGTTGAAATTTCTAGGACACATAATGAGGAAAGAGGGCTTGGAAAGTCTGATACTCACATGACAGAAATGACGCAAGATGGACAGAGACAAAAGCGCATAACCTACTTCCTGAATTTTTGGTTTTGATGAACAGCGTTAGGAAAAATAACGAAAAGACAGAATTTATTAAGAACTACAAAGAACAGGAAATTGTGGAGAGCTATAATCCCTACGCTCTGAAGGGACACAGTACATAAAATCAACATATAAGATACAAAGATAAAATTTATTCATTTGAATTCAACACTTAAAGAAATGACGATTAAAACAGCCTGTCGACGATTTAAGTATGAGTTTTTTTGTTGATTTGTTTATATTTATATAATTATCTATCTCGAATAATGATATTTAAAAATAAATCCGATACACCTTAAGATATTTTTTATATATTTAAATATATTAAGATTGGAAAAATTTATATTTTTATGTTTAACGAAAATATTTTTTATAGATACATTAAAAGATACATAAACATAAAAAATGTTTTAAATAAATAATTTGTCGGACTTTGTCCATTTTTTTAATATATGACGTCATTTGTTTACATTTGATACGCCATGAGCAGTTATGAATATACGAGATTCATGGAAGATTGAAGATTATAAGCAGTAAATTCGACCTTGCCAACCGAACGCTCCTTTGTGGCCGAGCTGTTAGGCACGTCAAGCTAAATAACGGTTCCATATAGGATGCAGGTTCGAATCCTGTCAAAGGACGAATATTTTCTATGAAAATTTCACGGACATTCAGGCCGGTAAATGTTATTTAATACTGTTTATTATATACAGAGCATTTACTTAAATACTTGTATCTATAAAAAAGAACGTTAAACATAAAAATGTCTTTTAATAAATAATATATATATATATATATATATATATATATATATATATATATATATATATATATTTTAACATTTTATCTATTGTTTAAGATCCTTTAAATTGAATTTCTCAGCGGTTCGAGCCAGTTTTACAGTTTCCAGGAGGAAGTTTGACATACATTGTTCAAAGGTTTATGAGCATTTTAATCTTCCATAACCATAAAAAGCATATTTAAAATGTCATTCAAATTAGGAATAAACGGTTATAATCTCTTGACTCAAAAATTTAGTGAAGAATTCATTTAACAAATTGTCTGAATTTCCCATTTTTTTTCTGTTTCCTTCCCTTTCTCTCTCTTTCTTCTTTCTCTTTTTTATGGCTATCTTATTTTATTTTTAAAACAGCACATTATACTACTTTTGTTTCTTATTTGGAATTTGATTATTATCGTAACATGTTTTTATGTCCCATATTTTAGTCGATTTTTATTTTTTCATTTTGCGAAAATCTTGTAATGTCGATTTTGTTCCGTCGAATTTTTAAGGACTTTATTTCTTTCTTTATTTATTTATTTACTCAATAGTCTTCTCTTTCTTTCTATTTTTCTATCTTTCTTTCTTTCTTAATACTATTTTGACCATCTTTTCTTATATATATACTAAACAGACTTTTTTTGTTATTCCTGTCCTTCTTTCTTTCTTTCTTTCTTTATTTTTTATTTATTTATTTATTTATTTATTTATTTATCTATTCATTTACTCAATAGATTGTTTTCTTTTTCTTTTTCTTTATTTACATTTTAATAATCTATTCTATTTTTTCTTAATTTTCTGTCTTCCTTAATTTTTTTTTCTTTTTTTCATTCAAAATTTTCAAAAAATTTTCTTAATTATTTATTTATTTATTTATCTATTCATTTACTCAATAGTGTTTTCTTTCATTTTCTTTATTTACACAATAATCTATTCTATCTTTCTTTCTTTCTTTTTCCTTCCTTCCTTTCTTTCTTTCTTTCATTCTTTCTTTCTTTCTTTCTTAATTATTTGTTTATTTATTTATCTATTCATTTACTCAATAGTGTTTCTTTCTTTTTTCTTCATTTACACAATAGTCTATTCTATCTTTCTTTCTTTCTTTCTTCCTTCCTTTCTTTCTTTCTTTCTTTCTTTCTATTTAAAACTTATTTTCTTTTGTATTTATTCAATAGTCTATTCATTCATTCTTTCTTTTCTGTATTCTAACCCTAATCCTAGGTTTTTTCTTTTCTTACTCTAATTTCCAGATATTCATTCCTTTCTTTCATTCTTTCTTTCTTTATTTATTTATTTATTTGATTTTCTTATTTATTTACTCCCATAATTTTCTTCTTTCTTTCTTTTTCTTTCTTTCTTTGACTTCTTTCATTCTTTCTTTCTTTCTCATCCATGTTTTGATGGTCTTTCCTTATATATTTAATTAGTTGTCTATTCCTTCCTTCTTTCTTTTTTTTTTAGTTTTCTATTTCGATTCTTTTTTTAGTATTTCAAAATAAATTTTATGTATTCTATCTTACCTTTTTTTTTTTTTCTCCTGATTTCCATTTTGATCATTTCGTTCTTTTTTTTCTTTTTCTTATTTATTTCCTCTTTTTATATTCTTTCTTTTTTTTATATTTCATTTATTTTTCTTTTCTTTTTTGAACTTTTTTTCTTTTCTTTTTTCTTTCTTTTTTGCCTACCCACCTTCTACTTAATTTTAATGGAAAATTAAAGTTTATTTTCTTTGACAAATCACCAACTTTGATATATCCTTTATCCCTTCCACCCCTCCCATGCACTATATTCGATGTCATCACATTGCTTCTATCTATTTGCAATGTTTTTCTTCGTATTCAATTCTTTACAATTCCAATTTCTTCCAATTGGGCTAAGAAGAGATAACGCACTTCATCTGCAATATCAGTCCCGGCCTAATTGGATCCGACCTAATTGGTCGCTACTTCCCCAAATCTTCGGAAACAGTAGGAAGGAAAGAAAATGGAAGGAAGGAAGGAAGGAAGGAAGGAAGGAAGGAAGGAAGGAAGGAAGGGTTTTCTTTTAAAGAAAGGCGTATTTATTAGAAAGAAAAAAAAACAAAATTAAAAGAAAAGAATTGTCTTCAAAGAAAGAAAGAAAAAAAGAAAGAAAGAAAGAAAGAAAGAAAGATCCTAACAAGAATTATTAAACATTGGTATGGCAGTAAAAAAGAAATAAAAAAGGAAGAAAGAATAAGTAAAACAATCAATTATTAAAAAAGAAAGAAAGAAAGAAAGAAAGAAAGAAAGAAAGAAAGATCCTTACAAAGTAAGCATTGGTATGGCAATAAAAAAAGACATAAAACGGTAGGAAGAATAAGTAAATTCAAACTATTATTACAAAAGAAAGAAAGACAGAAAGAGAGAGAGAGTGAGAAAGATCCTTACAAACTAAGCATTGGTATGGCAGTAAAAAAAAAAGAAATAAAAAACGAAGAAAGAATACGTCAATCAAACAATTATTACAAAAGAAAGAAAGAAAGAAAGAAAGAAAGAAAGATCCTCATCTTCATTATTATCCATTTATATTTCAGTAAAAAAGAAAAAAAAGCTTTAGAAAGAATGAGCAAAACAAAAGATTATTACAAAAGAAAGAAAGAAAGAAAGAAAGAAAGAAAGAAAGATCCTTACAAAGTAAGCATTGGTATGGCAGTAAAAAAAGAAATAAAACGGTAGGAAGAATATTTTTTTTTCAAAACAGAAATTACAAAAGGAAGATAGAAAGAAAGAAAAAAAGAAAGAAAAGAAAAAAAGATCCTTATAAAGTAAGCATTGGTATCCATTCAATAAAAAAAAAGAAATAAAAAAAAGAAAGAAAGAATGAGTAAATCAAAAAATTATTACAAAAGAAAGAAAGAAAGAAAGAAAGAAAGAAAGAAAGAAAAATAAAGAAAGAAAGAAAGAAAGAAAAATAAAGAAAGATAATTTTATAATCACATTTCAAACATTTTATAAGCATTCTAAATATGGGAACTCCAATTCTCGTTATTTTTACTTCAGTAATGATTTTTCATTCATTTAGTTCTTTCCCTCTCTCACTTTTTCTTTCTCGCTCGCTTTCTCTCTCTCCCTATCCTTCTGTCTCTGAATATTTTCTTCGTTGCCTTAATCCTCTCTTTTTTCTTTCATTACTTTTTCTTTTCATTTTAGACTGTCTTTTCCTTTTTCTACATGAGTATCGCCTTCCATTCAATTTTCTTTCTTTTTCTCGTTCTTTTCTAATTTCTCATATTTCTTCTTCTTTGTATTTCATTGTTATTCCTTCTTATTATTTATTCTTATTTCAGGTTTTATCTGCTTGCTTTTCATTCGTTTTTTATTTTTTTTCTACTTTCTTTTCATTTTTTTTTTTTTCTTTTTTTATTTTTTTTTTTTTGTCTTTTTTTCTTTCTTCATTTCCTTTTTTCTTCTGAAAGAGTCCTTTTTTTATTATTTCTAGCCTGAAGTCATTACTTTTTATTCCATTATTCATTTTTCTTACCCCTTTCTTTTATTTTTCGAATCTTTTTTTTTTTTTTCTATCTTCTTCTACTTCCTTTTCGTTTTCTTCTTCCTCTAACTATACTTTTTTTTCTTCATTTTCTTCCTCTTTTTTTGTCATCACATGGTTGTTACGTCATTTCTTTTTCTTTTATCTTCCTAATTTTTCTTCCTAATTTTTTCTATATGTATTGATTCTTCTTCTTCTTTCTGCTCTTCTTCTCCTTCTTCTTCAATATGATGTCATCCTTGTGGTTCTTATGGTACGCTATTTTTAATATTACTTTTCGTTCCTTTTTCTAGTTTTCTTTTTTTGTGTGTCTTTTTCTTCTTCTTTCATTGCAAAACTTTATTCTTCCATTCTTCTTCTTCCTCTTCTTCTTCTTCTTCTTCTTCCTCTTCCTCTTCTTCTTCTTCTTTCATGGCAAAGCTTTCTTCTTTTCTATTTCTTTTCCATTTTTTTACTTCTTCTTTCCTCGCATAGCTTTCCTGTCCATTTTATCATTTTTTATCATTTTTTTCTCCAGGTGACAGCTGTCTTCTTTCTTTCTTTCTTTATTTCTTTCTTTCTTTCTTTCTTTCTTCTTCTTCTTCTTCTTCTTCTTCTTCTTCTTCTTCTTCTTCTGCTGCTGCTGCTGTTTTACCATAGTTTACTTCTAGTTTACTTCTTACCCTAGCATAGTTTATTTCTTCTTCGTCATCTATTTCTTCTCACTGTCACATAGCATTCTTCTTTTCTTTCGTTTTTTTTTCTTCTTTCTCAATTGAATAGCTTACATCTTTTTCATTTTCTTTTCTTCTTTTTCTTCTGTCCTTGCACAGCTTTTTCTTTTTTCGCTTCTTCTTCGTTTTCTTCTGCATTGTGATGCTATTATTGCTACTCATATATCTTTTTTTAATATGCTCTTCTTCTTCTTCTACTTCTTCTTCTTCTTCTACTTCTTCTTCTTCTTTATCGTCTTCTTCTTTGTCTCCTTCTTCTTCTTTATCGTCTTCTTCTTTGTCTCCTTCTTCTTCTTCTTCTTCATCTTCTTCTTCTTCTTCTTCTTCATCGTCTTCTTCTTTCTCTCCCTCTTCTTCTTCTTCTTCTTCTTCTTCTTCTTCTTCTTCTTCTTGTTCGTGTCATCCATCTTTTTCTTCTTCAGTTCGTTAGTGTATTTCCTATAAATGTTCACTTAATTCCCTTATATATATTCTTATTTTGTCTTTTTTTGTCGCAACCATCTCACTCACTAAATAAATATCTTCAACTGAATATTCGACAATAATAACTTCTTTTTCTTCTTCTTCTTCTTCTTCTTCTTCTTCTTATTATTATTATTATTATTATTATTATTATAAATATTAATATTTTTATTCTATGTGCTCCTTTTGTTCAAGACATGAACGACTATGGCCCTCAAAACCTTTCTATCCCTTGTGGAACTTTGCAGCTTTTTTTTTCCCTTTTGATAAGCTCTTTCCTATTTTCCGCCATCAATTCGCACATGTAAGATAGGCGCGTCTCTGCCTTCCGCTAACTCTGTCGCCCCACAATATGCCCTGTGACGGTTAGGGTTTCCAAGCCTTCTCTAAAGGCAGCCTATAAACACTGGGCGCTCAACATAGAAGGCGTTTCAATCGATTAATCTCGTTATGGTGTAACTGTATTTCGTTGTCTCAACTTGACGCAATAGTTGAACAGAGAAAAAGTTCGATATCACGCTAAGTCTGATCGCTGCAACCTAATAGATGCTCTGAACATCTTTAAGGAAAATAGAAACAAAAAGGACACTTATATTGAAAAATGTCACTGATAATAGCAAAAGACATTGTTGGAAATTCTAGGGCAGCTAATGAGGAAAGTGAGATCGGAAAACTGGACACTAAAAGGACATATGGAAGGCAAGAGGGATTCTTCTTTTTTGAATAAACTACATTACGAGTTTGAGTAAATGGTTGTCAGAACAGGGATTAGGAGAAATAGCAAGACAAATATTTCTGTTAGTAAAAGACACACAATTTTGGAGAACTATGATCACA